CCAAACACTGCAGTGGGAGAAATAATGAAAAGGGGTGGGGGCTCTTAAATTGTGACGAGAATAATGAAACTATTTGTATGTGAAAAGGTGGGAAATCTGTGGAATTAAGTCCTGGTCACGAGGTGAGTGACGCTGGGAGAGGGTTAAGGATTAAGTGAGGTGTTGAATGTTTATGTATGTGTTGGGTTTATGGTCAACGGTTAGTGGAAAGGTCCATGGGGTGTTGGATATCTGTATTTGTTTGTATGTCTGTGTGACATAACAGAGACTGGTGAGTGGACCGTGTGCAATGGTGAGTGTGTTTTTAGGAACTTTATGTGTAAATGTGTTATTTAGGAAGTTTGGTGGATGTATACGTATAAAGAACTGTACTGTTTACTAACTTGAAATGTTGTGTGTGTATGTGGAAGTGCGTTATTTAGGAACGTTGGATGTATGTGTGCGTATAAGGAAATGTATTGTTTAGGAACTTGGAATGTTGTATGTGTATGAGGAAGTGTGTTATTTGGGATCCTGGGGTGTATGTGCAAAAGGAAATATGTTTTTTGGAACTTCAGATGTATGTGTATGAGGAAATGTATTGTTTAGGAACTTGGGAAGTTGTATGAGTATTTGGAAGTATGTTATAGAGGTTGCGAGCGCCGTAAAACCTTATACTACTGATACTGTTATAGAGGGTAAACAATAGACACGCTTTAAATATAGCTCTCTGTCTCACTCTCTGCCTCTGTGTCTGTCTCTCTCTATTCCCCCCTCCCCTATTCTCTCCCCCCTCTCTCTCACTATCTGTGTATGTGTTTCTCTCTCTGTCTGTCAGTCTGTCTGTGTCTCACTCTACCATCCTCCTCTGCCCCCCCCTCTCCGGCTCACCCCCACTCTCTCTTTCTCCGCTCATCACATTTCCCGCCCTTTCCCCTTGTGCCAGGCTACAGCCAGACGTCAACCCTCAGTCCCTACCAGACGACATACACACGGGAGTACCCAGCCAAAGTAGAGGAGGAACTGACGGCTATAAGGTCAGTGTTGTTGTGTTTGTTTTTGCTTTTTTATTTTTATTATTGTTTTGGTTATCATTATCATTCACCAGAGAGTTTCTGCCTAAACGAGAATTATCGAATATGGTCCGTGTTGCGTTACTGTTTTTGTTTTTGTCTTTGTTGCTATTGTTTTTGTTGTTTTTGTTGTTGTTGTTATTGTTTTTGCTGTTTTTGTTGTTGTTGTTATTGTTGTAGTAGTTGTTGATGTTGTTGTTGTTGCTGTTGTTGTTGTTGTTCAGCGACATACACTCGAGAGTACCCAGCTAAACGGGAGGAGGAATTAACTGCTACTATTGTTGTTGTTGTTGTTGCTTCAGCTGCTGCTGCAGTTGCTGCTGTTGCTAAAAACGTTGGAATTTTTGTTGTTGTTATTGATGTCTATTTTTTTTTCTTCAAATTATGTATTTCTATGCCACTACCGACATAATTCAGGTAATTTAGGAGACAGCTTTGAATCTGCCCGACACTCACTGACAGGGCCAACCCACATGAGAAGCTTTCAGTGTTGCTGCTGAAAGACCGATATACACATGCTCAACAACCCCCTCCCCACCCCTTCCGAAAAAGGGAATTGAATATGAGTCTCTTTTGTGCGACAGCAAAGCGCCTAACCGCTACTCCACGCCGGTTTGCTGTCTCTCTACACGCGTATGTTATATGTGTATTTATCTGACTTAATGACACAATGAATAATCCCTTCTTTATTTTACCCCCGACACCCTTCGCCACTGACTTCACCAACACGCCTTCCTTCCTCCACCTAAACACTCCACAGACCAACCGTAGCACCAACGACCGTACATAATAACAAGCTTGTTCACTCTGCCAAAAAGTATCTGCGGACGTCGGCGCATTTTTTGCTAGCTCGCAGAAGACTCGGATTCGATTCCCATATTGTGGAGAATTGTTTATCGAGTATCTCTGCCCGTCTGCTGAGACATTGTATCCCTCTGAGCCCCGGACGAAAGTGATGGGCTGGGTCAGAGTAGTTCGAGTCCTAAATGATCTAAACATTGTCGGTAAAACATCAGCAATTACAGGTTGAACCTGCCCGAACGACTAACTGTCTTCTTCTTCTTCTTCTTCTTCTTCTTCTTCTTCTTCTTCTTCTTCTTCTTC